CGCCATTTGGCACCACCACTCGGGTTTTTATTTCAAAATCCGATTTCAAACACTATTTAACGTACCTGCTTCTCTATCATGGCGGAGGCAAAAACACAATTGCTTTTCATGGCTAAATTTTCCTATTTTATTTAAATAGAGCGGCGTATCTTGGCAGCTACCTTGTTTTTATTGAGAATTCAAATTTCGCAATATTGGTTTTTAGTTCTTCATCAGAGGAAAGCAAAACATTTTTATAACGAACAATGTTAAATGTGATCTTTAACCAGCTATTGTATTCTAAAAACGATGTAATCTTTTGTAATTTAAATAAAATTGGCATGTTTTATTCAGGGCAGTCCAAACAATCTACCTGTTTTCCGCTGTAGATCTTATTTCGATTTCATTCAATATAGCCTAGACTATTTTCAAAATCAAATTAATTTAACTTTAACTTTTATATATGAGGAACTTGAAAACAGTTTATGGACGATAAATCAAACATTGCATGGTACTGGCTAACAACACAAATCCAAACTAAGTTGTCCCAATATTCCGTCATCGTGCTTGAATGAGGACAATAGGCGTAGCTAAGGGGGGGGCCACAAGGACAGGCCATGAACCCCCTTCTTGCATCGGAGAGTACAAAAACTTAAGAGAGAAGCAGCCTGAATGGAATTGGTTTATACCACTATTACACTACACCTAATAATCGAAAAATGAAATGGCCGCAAAATGCCATTTTTGCCATGCACATATTTTTTAAAAATTACCCTACGTGGGAGGGGAAACACCCTCCCCCGTTGAGAAATTGCTTCATCGCTGTCTTTGGTCGCTTAACTCTTTTCTTCCCTCCCTGAAAAACACTGGCTTCGTACACCATTTTCACTGGTCTAGCTAAGGGTCCACCAACTGGTCGTGTGTAACCTCAGAGCCTTCCGGCGCCACAGCCAGGGGCCATCGTCCCACGTTGATCGGATCGGAGTGGAAAAAATAAAAAGCGAGGGAGGGAGTTATAAGGGATTAGCATATGCCACTTCTCATATAAGTTACCCCTAATACTGAATTTTAGTGTGCAGAAAATGCCATTTTCATGCACGAATTTTCAAAAATCTCCCTACCGTGGGGGTTTCCCCCACCCCCACCCTCCCACACCCTACCCCCTCGGTCGCTTCGCTCCCTCGCCTTGGCCCCCCCTGTTTCCAATTGCTGGCTACGCCACTGACCAAGTACCTGTGGAGATGTAGCAACAGCAGTCATGGCCAGATAATCACTGCTGTGCTGAGTGTAACGTAGAAATACCACAGAGTCGTATTGCATAAGATAGAAATGTAGATAGAGCTGTAGAGATAGAGATATATATTGTGAATGAGCCAATTTTAGATTAACTCGAGCTGTTGCTGCAAGTTGTTACGACGTGATCCGCAGGTGTTTTGTCAATGTTGGGAAGAAAACATGAGAAGCCAACTCCACCTGTCAACTTACTAGCGGACTTTGCGGGCGGTGGGTTGCTGGCTGCCTTCGGTATCATGATGGCTCTAGTTGAACGACAGACTTCAGGAAAAGGCCAAGTTATTGATGCCAACATGGTAGCGTATGCATTTCATTTGGAGTAAATAATAGGGCATTATCCGTCCCCCGTTATTTATACAGGATTTTATCTATTTTTGAGAGAAGTTGATCATATTTTGTTACTAAATCATAGTTATAGGTTCATGCATACAGTGAATATTTATTATTATTGCAATCACCAATAATATTTATTATAATCTATAAAATTTCTTCGACCTTCTTCTTGAGCTTGGCTGGCGGTGTTCAGCTTAGTTGTCTAAATTTCATGTAGGGAAAAGTTAGATGCAAAGCTGGTCGATAGATGGCGCTACGTATCTATGATTGAGCTAACGGTGTGTTTCGTTACTTGCTAGGTGGAAGGTGCCGCATATGTGAGCAGCTTCCTATGGAAATCACGTGACTTGTTTCTGTGGGGGAAACCTCGCGGGGAAAACATGCTGGACAGCGGAGCACATTTCTACGACACATACAAAACTCGCGACGGCAAATACATGGCGGTAGGAGCGATCGAGCCACAGTTTTACCAGGAATTTATCGAGGGTTAGTTTGTTTATTGTATGCAATATACTTAACTCGAAAAGTATACAGTAATATCTGTATCATAATCATGCTAAAATTTGACGATTTGAGACAATAATATTGATATTACGTAAATATACAATTTCCACCATGTACGACCTCTTCTAAGAACCTAGGAATCTATCAAATGTTTTGCAAGGGTTATATCAAAGATTTTCTAAAATCTCCATTCCACATTACATATCAGACATGTTATAATGCTACAAGGGTTCTCTTTCCACGAGCTAAAAAAAATTCTCTAATAAACCTCCAACATGATGCATTAATTTTTACACAACCAGCTGCGCAATTTATCTCTTTATCTCTTATTTTTACGCAACCACCTGTGCAATATATCTCTTTATCTCTTATTTTTATGCAACCACCTGTGCAATATATCTCTTTAGATCATATTTTAACATGACCACCTGCTATTATTATATTTTTCGGCGAATAGGATTACAACTAAACAATGACGACGCGCCGATGAATCAACACGGCGACGACCAAGACGAGATGAAAGCTCTGGTGGCGGCCCGATTCGCCGAGCGAACGCAGGAGGAGTGGGAGGAGGCGTTCCGCAGCAGGGACGCATGCGTCACCCCCGTCATCGATCACACTCACGCTCACCTCCATCCTCACAACAGCTTCCGTGAGTCGTTCGTCGCCACGACGACGAG